TGTAAGGTTTGAAAAGTTAGTAATCTCTCTGAACCTAATTTCCCTTTTTTACAAAGTGAAAACTAAAGTAGCAATAAATTAACTAGGCCATTGGAAATAATAAGTTATTACATAAAAAGCACTGAAAAGGGAGTACATAGCATATGCTCAATAAATGTTAATTTATCATAACTACTATTACCAGTAGCATACAAAATAGGAAGTACATAGGTTCAAATTGATCTTTAAATTAATTTTAAACTTCAATAAGGAGGTAATAAATGAAAAATTATTTTTATTGATATGTAAAATATTCTATGTTTATTTAAGACAACTCTGAAATATAATATCCTGCTGCTCAAGAAGTCATCTGGGTTTTCCCTTTCTGTAAATACAGCCAATGCTTTCTGCAGAGGATTATTTGATTCAAAGTTTGATCTTGTGGTTTCAGCCAGGTAATGACATTTTTTGTTTTGTTGGTAAATTAAGATGTGTCTCTACCTCTAATAAAGATAGCCTAGGTTTTCTTCCTGCCTTCAGATAAAACCATACACCAATCTTTTAATGAAAGAAGTTGGCCTATTTCTGTTATCTAGGGAACTATATTTTATCTTTTTAAATTACCAAAATTGTGTGCAATAAACTAGATAAAAAATAAATATGGCTTCAGAAACGTTGAATGGAAGACAGAAAAGAGAATTGTACAAAAAAAGTTTTATAAATTTCTCTATAAGAATTATATTCCCTCTCAGCCACTTGGAAGTCTGAGAAAGGAAGATCACAAAGCCAGCCTCAGCAAAAGGAAGGCACTAAGCAACTCAGTGACAAGTTAGTTATCTCTCTGAACCTCATTTCCCTCCTTTACAAAATGAAGACTAAAGTAGCATTGAATTCACTGGGTCATTGGAAATATTGTTATTACATAAAAAGCACTTAATATGGAATACATAGTATATGCTCAATAAATGTTAATTTATCATTAAGCAACTAAGCAACCCTGTCTCTAAATAATATACAAAATAGG